TATATTGATAAATATTAAAAATAATATTGATAAATATTAAAAATAATATTGATAAATATTAAAAATAATATTGATAAATATTAAAAATAATATTGATAAATATTAAAAATAATATTGATAAATATTAAAAATAATATTGATAAATATTAAAAATAATATTTATAAATATTCAAAATAATATTTATAAATATTCAAAATAATATTTATAAATATTAAAAATAATATTGATAAATATTAAAAATAATATTGATAAATATTAAAAATAATATTGATAAATATTAAAAATAATATTGATAAATATTAAAAATAATATTGATAATTATTCAAAATAATATTTATAAATATTCAAAATAATATTTATAAATATTCAAAATAATATTTATAAATATTCAAAATAATATTTATAAATATTCAAAATAATATTTATAAATATTCAAAATAATATTTATAAATATTCAAAATAATATTTATAAATATTCAAAATAATATTTATAAATATTAAAATAAGTTTCAAATATAAAATATTATTTTTAAGACAATTTTTTTAAAAGAAATTAAGTATTAAGAAAGATAAATTCTATTGATTTTTAAAAAAAAATTTTAATCATCTAAACTTCAATATTAAATAAGTTTTTTTTCTTGTTATTTATTCATATATTAAAGTAAGATTTCATCACTTCAAAAATATTATTAACTTTGCCTTTATCAAAATTAATATTTTTTTATATCAAATCTTTAATTTTTAGGTCTAAAATATTAATTGAATATTCTAATAGGTTATTAGTTTGTTCAATTATTATTATAGATTATTCTTTTATTCTATCTCACAAATAGTAATTAAACTTATTAATTGCTGTTGTTACAATCTTAAAAAAATTATATTTTATATTCTAAGATTTAGTTTTTTTAACAAACCTTTGTCATGCTAAATAAAACATCTTATCATTTATTTTGTTGTTTTGTTATTTTTCTTCTAAATAACACTAAAACATAATCTATTCTTTTTTCTTTTTTCTTTTTTCTTTTTTTTTCTCTCTCTTTATAGTTTTTTTTTAATATTTTTTATATTTAATATTTTTAATTCATTATTTAGGTACATTAAGAACTTTTCTTTCCTTATAAATATTTTTTTTATAATTTTATATTATTTTAGCACATTTTCGAAAGTATAATAAAATCGACAATACTTTTATACAATAATACTTCTACTACATGTAACACATTTTTTTTTAAAAAAATTCTTTTGTATTTGTTAGATGTTTTTTTGATAATTAAAGAATTAAAAGTAAATATAATTCTATAAAAAATATTTATTCTGTTGATATTTGTCTTGCATTATGAATTCTCTTAGTTGGCATTGCCCACTATTTTTAATAGTCCTCATAGAGGGCTCCAAAGAAGAGAGGGAGGAAGGTGGGCCAATCTAGGTTTAATTTGGAGCATGTTTGGAGAAGGGGCTAGAGTTAGCAATAGGATATTTTTGTCCAAACCTCATATGGCCATCATTGTGTTCCATAGCAAATATCTTTTTGTCTTTTCTATTAGATTTCATGTAATCTTATCTATGTGCATTTGATACAAGTTCCAATAGATTTTATGTGTGACCTTGAACAATACTCAAAACTTATGTGGATTTTTATAATGCTTGGCCAATTTAATATATATATATATATATATATATATTGTAATTTTTTGTTTGTTTGTTTGTTTTGTTTTGTTTTTGTTTTATTTTTTTTCCTACTCCTATTGATTCTAATTAAGATTTCTTGATTTTTTTGTCCTTTTAGATATGTAAAAGTTTTTGGAAGCCAAAATGAAAACACTCATTAATTTTTTTTCTTTACATAATATTCTTTATTCTAAACTTATCAATTTTAAACTCATTTTTTTTTAATCACATGATGTGTTTTTTTGGCTTACAATCTAACTACAAATATTTATAATTTTTAGATTTTTTTTAAGCTAATCATATCAAACTTTTGAAAAGGTATGATATCTCAATATTTCTAGAGATAAATTTTATTCCAAAAAATACATTAGTAGACTTGATCCTACTTTAATACGATGTAGAAAGTGAGGTCATATGATTGATCATATTAAGACCTTGGTGAATGATTTAAACCAAGTGCCAATTTGCATGAGGTTGAATGAGGACGAATAAATTTCATCCACAATCCGCCCATCCTCTCATCCATCCGTTACAAAACCCTACTAAACCAGCCTGCCAACGGAGAGGAGGGTCATGGCCACAGGGGAAGGGACTATCTGGAAACGGGAACACAAATTCAAGCTTTGTGAAGAGAATTAACCGATCCATTAATCCATCATCTTCAACAAGGAATTACTTGATATCCGAGAGAATCCGATTCAAAACTGCAGAAGAAGAAAAAGAAGAAGAAGAGAAAGGTCTCGCAATCTGCTCTACATTTACCGACACCGACTGATTGCAAGCAACCAGGGGGACAAGCTTTCCGAAATTGAATCACAAGGTCTCACCCAATCAAGTAGATTCGGAATCAGTATGAAGCTCAGCAGCATCTACCGACAGGAATTTAGATCTGAGGCGAATGAGCTGCGGTGACAGTCTTGCTGGTCTTCAAACAGGACCTTGACAGGAGTTCATGTCGGCATTCCACAGCCACTGCACCAAAAACTTCCGGCCTCGCACGCCATGCACATTATAGCTCGCGCCATACGTCGAAGTCGGCACATCGCCTGGGTACCCACCTCCTGCGCCATACCCATACATCCCCTCGCAGAGATCTGCAATCTCGAAGGGAGCAGATGGATCCTTCCCCGCGTACCAGGCATTGATCAGCGGGTTGCTGGAGATTTCGGCGAGCTCGTGACCGATGACGCTCACCATGCCGTCCACGCCAATGTCGTTGTTGGGGCTCTTAAGCGGGGCGAAAGACTCCCCCATGAACGCCGGGATCGCAAACGGAAAGGCACACACTTCTGGACACGATTTGCCCGAGTTTCCGATCCACGCATAGGGGAGTGTGTAGCCGACCTTCGCCGGGAACGTGAAGTAGTGGAATCCACACACGGCTCGGCAGTAGTCTTGCATCATCACGTCCTCGCTCGTGAGGACCATGTAGAGGCCACCCTTGGTATTCACCGGGAGAGTCCCTTGATTCTCAGCCAGGGCGCTACGGATGACCTCTTGCACGCTCAGACGCGAGAGAAGCTTCCCGTGGGAGTAATTACGGTCTTCGTGCTCGCCAGCCACTACGATGGATGCGCTGATGTTGGCGCCTGTTTGATCCGTGTAAGTCTGCACCGTGGACCACCATTGCCGCACTGATGGACAGGGCACGGATGCAGGCGCAGAGATGGAGGCAAGAAAATCTCGGATTATGCTCTTCTGGGAGATTTTCCACGCACCGTACCAGATTATGTAGACGCGGATCGCCGACGTGAGCACAGGGCCCATGTGGTACTGTATGTCGACGATCGGGTCCTTCACGAGCACCTTAGACACAGTATCGGTGGCAGCTGTTGGCCATGGCCTGAAAGGATGGTACAGAGCTGATGGAAAAGAGCTGGAGGAAGCGGGGTCCTTATTGCCGATCGCAAAAGCGGCTCCTCGGGCAAACACACAAATCGACATCGCTGCAAGAAGGATTCCAGATACATGTCGGCGATGAGAGGCATAGCTAGCCATGGAGTCCAAATGAAATAAATCCAACGTTCTTGTCGCCAGGTGCTTGACAAGACAAGACAGCAAGGCTGTAGCAGTTTCACTTGCCTCTATATTTCAAAAGGTTATTGAGCCGCGACGGTTGCGGCATTGAACTGTCTGTGCCTGTCGATGCCAAGATTGTTGCGTGGATAAAATGATCAGTATGAAGCATCTCTGCAACCACAGAAATGAGCTCCACCAATCACACCTATTTCCAGCCAGAGAGTAAATTGGTTTGCGATGTTTTCAATACATTCTGCCCAAGCATCACCAAAGAACAGTAGGAGAAACTACAAAAGCAGCGGGAGAAGGGACAAAATTCTAGCACGCACATCAGCAACACCGCGAGAATCAGCTCAGAAGCATCCAGCAACTGCTAGAACAGTGCCGGAAACTCAAAAACTCCAATCCAGTGTTAGCCAGCCCGAAGCTCCAACCTCGCAAAGAGGAGATCAGCAATAAGCAAATGGAATATCCACCAGCACTACCGCAACGGGGTCTCTGGGTTATCTCAGCACGCAGCTCGCTCCTCACTGCAGCAGGAGCCAAATGGGTCACGTCAAAGGTGAGTATGTAGCCACAACCTTAGCCATATCTTTATAGTGCAGGACCTGGTGTCGCGTCCAAATTTGCCCACCCAAGTGATCCACAGATAATGCATCGCCATAACCCCCTGCACATAGACGTCCTCAACCTGTCGAGGTAAGAAGAAAAGAACATTTCTTGATGTAGTGGGTGCAAGGACGACAGGTGAACCAAGTCCTTTACACCAGCGACGTCAAATCAAGCACCCTATCACCACAGAAGCATGATGCTGCACCTTGTGCGACGCAGTAGAAGGCCAGTGGGCGTTATCCCTTCGGACTCCTCGAAGGGCTCCAGGCGCCGTGATCCGAGTCGCGTCGTCGTCACCACCCGACCACTGCCGCCTGGTCTGACCACTACCATCCACCACCACCACCATCTCCACCAGCTTCTCAAGTCCCGCTCTTAATTGCAGCTCACACAGATCGATATCGCAAGTTACCCACACCGATCGTCAGCGATTGCAGCGATACCGACTGCGAGTGAGCTGCATACAGCCCAATGCAGTTCTGCGCCCCCTAGCTGTGACGATGAGCAAAGAGGGCAGCATGCATTGCGTGTGGGATCTGATTGTGAGCAGCCGCGGCAGATTCCATAACAACGCATGCATTCACGGCAGGGCCGCCGACAGTACCACCCTGTGTCGGCACCAGAGTATCATCATGAACAATATCGATGTAGTGCGATTTCTTCTGCGATATGGCGACCGCGGATTTGAGGACACTTAAAGCTGGTGCTTATAATCGGTGAGTTTCACGGGTTCCGATGACAAGAGTCGAAGATCCGCGGTTCAATCGATTGGTGGATCCACCACCGACACAAAGAAAACTGTCACCGACAGTGAAGAGACAGAGCTTGAGCCTGGATTTAGCAATGACAAGCTTCAATCCTTTCTCTCAATCTGTGTTTTATAGGCGTATATCATACACATTTTGCACAGTAAAAGTGAGGGTTTTGGGGTGCAAAAGCATCAGTTTTGGATGTGATTGATGTTGGTTTAACTTTTTTATAATATTATAATGTGTTGAAGGGTGATTGTTTCTTCTTGCTATTTGTAAAAAAGTTATGACCAACTCACTCAAATATTCCAGTAGATAAGTATAATGTTTTAAAAAATAAAAAAATAAATAAAAATCCTCTATCTATTGGCATAAATAGTTGTGGATATGGTATATGGCAATAGGAGAATGGTGTAGACAATGGTGTGGAGAATGTTTTTTTAGAAAAATCTATATGGATCACAACATGTGAATAGTAGTTTTAAGATTGTTGATGTCCCTTGTTAATCCCTCCTCAAAAGTGAAATAGATTCTCTTCAATAGCAATGCACACTTATCTTCATTTTCTTCACTTTTGGCCACAATAAATTTGTCTCCAATTGAAACTAGAAGAAAACAACTATGAAATGTAGTTTTAAGTGGGTCCCAATACTTTTTGCCTCATCTTTCATGCCTTCATTTAATGTTCTCCTAAAGTTATGGATTATCTTCTTCCTATCTTATTAGCAAATTATATTCTTTAATGATTTGTGTATTGGCTCTATCCTTTTGGCTTCTAATTCTTTGTAAAATTTTCTCTATTACATCCACTTACTTTGATACTTCCTAACAACTTGAATTTAAGCCAAAAAAAATAACAAATATAACAATGTTCTTTAAAAGTTTGTGTTGTGATTTTTATAAAATTAAAAATAATTGTTGCATTTTTTGGTTTGAAACCAATAGACAAATATTAAAAATAAAATATACTTAAAATACTAATAAAATATTATATTAATATTAATCATTTGTATTTTAATATCATATGTTATTAAGTTTATATTATTTTTTAAAAATATTAAGTAAAAATTTAAAAATTACTAAAATTATATTTTTATAGTAAAAACTAAATCTAATAGATTCAAAAATTGTTATAATCAGACAATAAAAATGTGGTAAATAATGATTTTCATGAATTTTAATTCAAACATTTAGATTAGATAACTTTTAAATCTTAAATCTTAATAAAAACAAACTTAATTTAAAAAAACTCTCTAAACATAGATATTATTCTATTAGAATTTTATGAAATAATTTGTCAATAAATTCATATGAAGATTGAATTCTTATAAGATTTTATTACAAGAATAAACATGTAATAGTTTTGAAATGATTTAAACTTACATACTTATAACAAATATCAAAATAAAAACTTTTAGAATATAATAAAGAGCCAAATATATGTATATATATATATGAGACATAAATACTTAATCTTTTATTGTTTTACATCTTCTTTTTATGTTGATGTTTTTAACTTACAAGTTGCTTTATAACATTTATAAAAAAGATAACACAAAATTTTAATAATAATACAATGTGATTTTTTTTTTCAATTTTTTTTAATTATTAAGTCTTAAAAGTTTATTATCTAAATGAAATAAATGAAGTATATTATTTATTATTTATTTTATTTTTAATAACTTACTAAAAACAATCCATTCATTGCCATAGACACACATATTTATCTAAATAAGAAGTATTAGAGGTTATGGATTATCTTTTTCTAATTTGACTTTTAGATTTGTTTGAATTGTCTTTGGAAGGAAAAATTATAGATGCTATTTTTGGTGTAAGTAAGAATAGATTTACATATTTATTTTACCTCTTTTATACTTAAAATAAAATCAAAAAATTTCATTGATAGAATTTTCTTATGATAATATAATATATTTTTCTATGCAAAAAAATATCTATTTTTGCTAATTATGGTTATCATCTACAACTTCATACTTTTGATTTTTCAAAAGTTGATAATTTTACAGTGAAAGATTGAAAAATTATTTATCTAAGCTACATATAATAATGAATGCACTATTAAAATAAGCTCAAAAAACAACAAAAGACCAACGTATATGCTTCCTACAAGAGACAACTTCAATTATATATTAGCAATAAAATATGGTTATTTTGTTGCAATATGAAGATTAACTGCCTTTATGATAAGTTGGACTATTATAGGCTTTCACCATTTATTATTTGTAAATAAATCAATCATATTGCTTATTGATTATATCTACTTAAGTTCATGAAGATCCATTTTGTATTCTCAACGTCTTTCTTTGAACCATATAAAACAATGAATATCTTGAAAAGAAGACAAATACCACTTCTTCTTATGAAAATAGATAATAATCAAGAGTTTGAAGTAGAAGGTGTCTTAGACTGAAGGCAACATTGAAATAGGTTAACTTATCTTATTTATTAGCATAAATATGGTATTAGTGAATGTACATGGAAGTTAGCTAAAAATCTTGCAAATACAATAAGAAAGCTTGATACTTTTTATCAACAACATCCATCAAAATCAAAATAAAAAATAACAAATCTTTGCTATAAAAGAAATATATTTAAGAAAATTTCATTTTACCTTTTATCTTTGTTTGTGGTTTATATGTGATACTAAAGAGATGAAAAATCAACAACTAGCAGATTCAACTAAAGAATTGTTGTTTGCTAACTTACTAAATGAGACTTTGTAATTATTATAACTTTGAAGATGATTGTAACATGGCATAGATAAGATATTTGTATTATTGACACATACGGATAGATAGTTGAAACCATGTTTGAAAAATTAAAGTTTTTAGAATTGGAGCTAGGTTAGTAGACCAGGTAGGATCTATTGTAGAATATTTTAGAAAGAGTTTAGAATGATTATCTAAATAGGATCTATCATGGAACTTTCTACAAAGAGCTTAAGGTGGTTATCTACGTAGGGCCTACCATAGAACCTTCTAGAAGGAGTTTAAGGTAGTTATTTAAGTGGGATCTATCATTTAAGAACATTCTAAAAAGTCTACAGTGATAGAACAAAGTATAAATAGGATTAGCTAAGGCCTTTTGGGAATTTGGTCATGTATGGCTTTGGACCTTCTTTCTTAATAAATTTTGATTTTGTATCTTCTTATTTAGTTTTATTTTGTTTTATTTTCATTTGCATAGTTTTGTCTTTTGTGTACTATTTTGTTTATTTATATTTAATTTTTTTTTAGTCCATTTTGTCCTATTTTGTAATAAAATTTTATATTCTTGTAGATTTAAAGAGTCTTAGACTTTCAAGATAGACTAATCCTATTTTATTGGTAACAAAGTAAATATTAGAATATTCTTTGGTAATGTATCAATAGCCATCATCTAATTCGAGATCAATTGTTGTGGTGTCACTAGATACTATGTTAAAACTACTACAAGCTATTCTTAAAAAATCAACCAAAAGGTGAAAAGGCATTATAATAGAGGAGTCCAAGGAAGAAATTACATGTAAGATATCGTGGAGCAATCCTAGATGGAAGCTCAAATACAGCACCTCTTAAATTAGATAGTTATCTTGCAATGACAAATAGAAGCCTCAAGGATAAGGGAATTGACATTTCTTAGGTTAAAATTGAGTAAGCCTAGTACATACTCTGGGACTTCATGACAAAAAGATATATGTCAATGGTTCTTCAACATGCCACAATACTTCCAACTATATAGAATAAATACCACTAAAGGAATAATGTATGCAACAAACTATTTGAGAGATGTGTCAGCTATTTGGTAGCGACATCAAGTTCAAAGCTGTAGAGCTTAAGGTAGATTTTGTGATTGAGAGGAATTTGAGACCAAGTTTAGGAATCAATTTTGGCCCATCAATATGGGAAAGATAAGACAAGATCAATTGACAAATCTTACATAATCTAGGTCAATACAAGATTATGTCTCCCAATTCAAATCTCTATCTTTCTAAATTGGCAATGTTTTGGAAGGAGAGATGATGGATCGATTTCTATGAGATTTAAAACTTGGGGTCCAACGAGAGGTGGAACTTAAAAATCTACAAATGCTTGAAGAAGCAATTCGGATTGTAGAGAGGGTCAATGCTATAGATTTTAGAAATTATCAAGCATAGCCTATAGCACAAAGTCCTATGCCGCTATCTAATATTATGGCACAACAATCAATGCCAATGGAGATTGATGCCTTACAAGGATTATTAATACTACAAAGATGGCAAATATTGATACAAAAAGAATTGTATTTCTATTGTCAAGAGTCATGCCATCAGATTGGAGGTTGTCGAAGACCTCAAAATTCAATCACCAACAAAATAAGGCAAGTTCACAATCTCAAGACTCACTAAGTCAATAATGAGATAAAATAAGGAAATGAGGCTTTCTA